TATCGATGCATCGGATCGTCGGCTGTTGGATCGATGCATCAATACAAAACGATTATTATTTACACCCCCAGCTAATGTGGAACGATATGGCTTTTTTATTTTTTTAAATAAGAAGATACATCAAATTAAATTTCAGTTTTTTTTTCTCTCTGAGGAGATGCACACTTCTCTCAGCCGCCGTTTCTGGGCAGCCCTGATAAAGTCGAGCAAAAAGGAAGTAAATGAAAGAATCTTTTTGTGCACAGCTGTTGAAACCTCATCTTTAACCCATTCTTTAAACAAATGTCTTTTATTACAGCTCACTGATTCCCTGGTCGCTGTGTGATCTGTCAGGTCTGTGTGTTTAAGGCTAGGACAGACTCACCCAGGATGGCCAGCACAGTGTTGTCTTTCAGCACCTCCATGGAGCCTGAGCAGACGAAGTAGATGGCCTGCAGGGCGTCCCCCTGCCGGATGAGGAACTCTCCAGGAGCGCAGAAGGAGGTCTTGATGATGAGGGAGAGAGAGCGCAGGCATCCCCTGCTGGCCGACTCGAAGAGGGGAAGCTGCAGCAGCTCCTTGTTCAGGTGCATGGCAATGTCCGCCCGCAGCTCATCAGGGAAGTCCTTCAGCAGCTGCAAAGACAAAACAATTTCCCACATAAGAGCTGCTCTGCCTGAAGAGAGCAGAGCGTCTAGCCGATGGCTTTTCAAGAACTACTTCAATGATATCAAGATAAGAGGAAACACAGCTGGGCAAGAACACAGCTTCATGTCTTCAGTTTGAAAGTTAGAGACTAAAAAAAACAAAAAAACATAACTTTTAACTTATATATTTAAAAAAAAAAACACAGCGGCCAGTTTGGGAAAGCTCTGTTAATAAAAAACAAATGGAAGAAAAATCTCTAAACAAGCTTAAAGCAGTAACATTAATCTAAAGTGACTAAAGACGACCCAGGAATCTGTTTCCTTGACTTATTAAGCATTTCCTCTGGTATCTTATATTTCATTGGTTGTTTTATTTTTCAGCTCAAAGCAGCAGAAATAGATCCTTGTTCTTTTTTTAACAACTTGATGAATTGTGCTGTTTGTTTACTACGGGTCACAAGTAAAGAGTCCAAAGGATCTTATAACAGCTGACAGTATGAGTTAAAATAAATCAGAGATAGCATGTCGGGCTTTTTAAAGATTGGTAAAGATCGGCCAGAGACTGGGAATCATCTCTTGATTAGTCACAAAATAACTAACATGGTAAAAATCCCTGCTGACCTCCTCATGGCGGCTGATTCTCCTTATTCTCCTAGACTTTGACACCATCATCATCATCTCCCTCCTTTAATAGATCATTTTCCATCTGTTAAGGGATCCGTTCTTTTCCCTTAGCAT